GATCTTTGCTATTCTCTCTTTGCAAAGAAGATCTTTGCAATTATCAGCAACCAGGAAGAGGCATTGTAAAATGAGAGAAAGGCGGGGGCGGGGGGGGGGAGAGACAGAGAGAGACAGAGGAGAGAGAAACAGAGAGAGACAGAGAGAGACAGAGAGAGAGAGAACAGAGAGAGAGAGAGAGAGAGAGACAGAGAGAGAGAGAGAGAGAGAGGAGAGAGAGAGAGAGGAGAGAGAGACAGAGAGACAGAAAGAGAGAGAGAGAGAGACAGAGAGAGACAGAGAGAGAGAGAGAAGCCTCCTTGATTTCTGATCACTTTCCAGTCCCTCTGGCAGCCTGATTATATGTCTTGCCCTGGGTTTCTTGAGTTGTTATAATAAATCCCCTTTTTCTTGGTTTAAGCAAGTTTCTATTTCCCACAACCTAAGGATCTCTAATTAAGACAAGTGCTCAGCAAGATACCCAATATTTAATGAATGCTCTGTAAGTGCTTATTGTTTTATTATTGTATTAAGGGATTTATTGAGGTTCACCGAAAGTACTTCGAGAATAGAAAGGAAAAGAGAAAAAAGTTGATTATTTGGTCCCCAGTTGGCTGCTTGGGGAGGGTCTTTAAGAAGGGTGGGTGATACTCGACAAGTGGAGGTAGGAAACCAAAGGCTTCGGTGCAGAAGGATGCTCAGCAAAGGCGAGGGGAGGGTTTGGGAGCTGGGATAACGTGAGTCTCCGGGCGTAGGCTGAGCCTGGTTTGGAAGGACCTTATATATCACGTGATGGGATTTTTGCTCTATCCTGAAAGGCTTGCAGAGGAAGCAGGAGGCACCAGAAGATGACTTAAAAAAGAAAAAAATTAATAAAGGCAATCACATAAGAAATTGCTTAAACATATCACTCTGACACAAATGTACAAGAGGAAGTGGAGAGGAATGGAACTGTATTGGGAGGCTGTTGCAGTCTGGGTGAGAAGAAATGAAAGGGAAGCGAGGCATCAACACCCCCCTCCCGTGTGACATTAAATAGTGCACGCGGAAGAGTGGACTTGTCCCTGGTCTGTGCAAGCAGTCTCCTGCTGACAATCAGAGTGACTCACAGGTGTCCCACCAGCTCGCTCTCTTCATGCAGGAGCTGTTACATTTATGCGCCTGCTCCACTAGCAGCCAGGCTAGCTAGCTGTGCCCTTTGACTCCTTTCCTCAACCCTCCACGTATTTGCCTGCCACCTGGTCTTCTCCTGTTTCCTCCCCGCTCCCAGGCTCTTTCATCCAAATTCAAACGGTAGATGTTCCATTTCCTCTTGGTAGCTCTGCACATTGATTAGACCATTTCAGACATTCTGTGTGTTTGTGCCTGAGCAGCGCACCCCTCCCCCACCTCACGCAACAGAGAGTAATTTGAAAAGAGCCTAAGACTAACAATTTACACAGGCTGAGTTGGGACCTTTTTTCCTTTACTATGGCATTTTGACAACAAGAAAAATGACACTGGCAGAGCACTTATTGATTCACAAAAGACCTTCCCTGTGAATTGGGATACCTGTGCACTCTAGACAAATCTATGTCTATTTGGGGGGTAAAAAGCTATGGTGTTATAGATGTTGTCAGTGAACTTGACCTAAAGAGAGATTCTGTTTTCCCAGTGGTTAGTGCAGAAGAAATCCATACACATATTTGGCTCAATAAATATTCTTATAAATTATATGGAGGATGATATTTTTACGTTTGGGGGAATAATTCTTATACAGTGGAAGTAAGGGAAAAATAAATTGGGAATATACTGCTCAGTTCTGGCCATGTGGTCATTTTAATGATGCTGTAAAAACAGAGATGGAGCAAGACAGTGTTTCTTTATGAGGATGGGCTGACTACTTAACGCTCTCAATCTGGAAAGATGAAGGTAGAGTGGGCTGTGATAAAAAATTTACAGTCATGAAGGGAGTGAATCAGGTGAGTAACAGCTCGGAAAAATAAGAGTAAGAAACATATACTGAAGGTAGTTTGAAGACAAAAGAAAATGCAGCTTTACATGTTTATAGTAAAGTCATGATTCATTATTCCAAGAAGCAGTTAGGTCAAGATATGATGGGATTTAAGCAAAGGTTTACATAAACTCAAGGATGCAAAGTCGACAGTGGGTATACTTAAGAAATATGCCCACATTTTTGGTTTTAAGTTACAAAAATAACATGTTCATTGGAGAAGAATTAGAAACATCATATAAGCAAAATTTTTAAAAATTAAAAAATCTGTAATCTCTTAGAGATAATAACTATTGATATTTTGCTTATACTTTATTTTTCTATTTGTTTATTTAATTTACCCAAATGGGCTCAAACTAAACATATTGCAGTTTTTTTCACCATAATATTTTGTGACGATCTTTCCATGTCAGTAACTTTATAGCTACACAGACGTTTTGAAGTACAAGGTGTTGCTTTGGATGGATTTACTATAATTATCTTAACCAAATCCATATTGCTAAATGTATTCTGAGATTTCCTACATGTTTATCTTCTAGGTGTATGATACTTTTGTCAACTTAAAAATGTCCTATTGGATTTTAAATGCAATTGCATTGAGTTTACAGATAAATTTTGTGGGAATCTTTACGGTATTGGGTAATTTTATCTGGAAACACAATATATCTTTTTTTTTTTTTTTTTCCCGGTACGGGGGCCTCTCTCTGTTGTGGCCTCTCCTGTTGCGGAGCACAGGCTCCGGACGCGCAGGCTCAGCGTTCATGGCTCACGGGCCCAGCCGCTCCGCGGCATGTGGGATCTTCCCAGACCGGGGCACAAACCTGTGTCCCCCGCATCTGCAGGCGGACTCTCAACCACTGCACCACGAGGGAAGCCCGAGTTGTCACATTTCTTACGTCTTATCTGGCTTGAAAAAGCAATGATCCCAGACATGGAAGCTGCAAGGTGCCCGATGACCTAACCATAGAAGTTTCAGAGTGTCACTTCTGCTGGAGTTTATTGGTCAAGCCAGTTGCTGAGGTCAGTTCAGATTCAAGTGGAAGGGAATTAGGCTCCACCTTCCAATGGGAGGAATAACAAAGAATTTGGAATCATCTTTAATGGCTTATTATTTTTAAAATTGTTGCTGGTGTGATTTGCTAATATTTCTCAATATATTTGTGCAAACATTCCTAAATTATGTTGGTCTAGAGATTTCTGTGCTGTATTTACCAGGCTTTTGGTAACAGGGTTATGACATTTGGTTTTTAAAATTGAATTGGAAAATTTTGATCTTTTTCGTAGTCTAACACAGTAAATAGCATTAGAATTTCTTGCTTTTTAAAAAATAATTTATTTATTTATTTTTGGCTGTGTTGGGTCTTTGTTGCTGCATGCGGGCTTTCCCTAGTTGCAGCGAGCGGGGGCTACTCTTTGTTGTGGTGTGTGGGCTTCTTACTGTGGTGGCTTCTCTTGTGGAGCATGGGCTCTAGGCACGCGGGCTTCAGTAGTTGTGGCTCGTAGGCTCAGTAGTTGTGGCGCATGGGTTTAGTTTCTCCGCGGCATGTGGTATCTTCCTGGATCAGGGCTCGAACCCGTGTCCCCTGCATTGGCAGGTGGATTCCTAACCACTGCACTACCAGGGAAGTCCAGAATTTCTTGCTTCTTGAAGATTTATAAAACCTCCCAGGCCAAATGTCCTTTATAATTTGACAATTCTTTTTTTTTTTTAACGGTACGTGGGCCTCTCACCGTTGTGGCCTCTCCCGTTGCGGAGCACAGGCTCCAGACGCGCAGGCTCAGTGGCCATGGTCCACGGGCCCAGCCGCTCCACGGCATGTGGGATCTTCCCAGACCGGTGCACGAACCCGTGTCCCCTGCATCGGCAGGCCGACTCCCAACCACTGTGCCACCAGGGAAGCCCCTATAATTTGACAATTATTTGATGGTATTTTTATTATAGTATCTTTGATCTTATTTATATTTCTTACTTCTTCTTGAGTCAATTTTGTTATTTTATATTTTCCTAGTAAAAGAAGTCACAACAATTTTTGACAAGTATTTGTCACAACTTTTGCTGTTTTCCAGGACTGATATAGATGTCTTCCCCTTCATTTTAATTTCTTTTGTCTATTTCATTGGGAATGTAGGAAGGAAGGGAAGTTTCTTTGATTTGCCAAACTTTAATACAGAGATGTAATGCTCTAATTGTCACAGCTGTGTTGTAAGGTATTGCACATTATTTATACCTTATGTCATTTAATAGGAATGAATACCCTGTGAGATAACAAAAATTACTCGTTTTATACAAATGACTTTATGTTTTACAACACAAGTCACCTACTGTAAGTTCATTACAAAGAATTATTAATTTAAGTTCAGTCATTCAAATACTCTTTGTTGAATCAGAAGGAAAGCAGGAATTACATCTATAATGTGTTTCATGTCATCAGTTGTGACTTTTGTCCCTCATGCTGATTAATTCATTAAGCATATTTAGTTATATCTACCAGTCTCCCAAGAGAGATGGTGAGGTCCATGAAAAATAGACCATATTTAAGTTGCTAACAGAATCTTTAAGTACGTAATAGTAACCAGGAGATAGAAAATGTTTAATATTTGATATAAATGTCCAATTGGATTAAAAAAATGTTTTTTATTGGGGTATAGTTGTTTTACAATGTTGTGTTAGTTTCTCCTGTACAGCAACGTGGAGTTCCCTGTGCTATACATCAGGTTCTCATTAGTTATCTATTTTATACATATTAGTGTATATATGTTACTTGCAGTCTCCCATTTCATTCCATCCCCTCTTTCCCTGCTTGCTGTGCATATGTTTGTTCTCTGCATCTGTGTCTCTGTTTCTGTCTTGCAAACCAGTTCATCTGTACCTTTTTTCTAGATTCCACAAATATGCATGAATGTACGATATTTGTTTTTCTCTTTCTGACTTATTTCACTCTGTATGACAGTCTCTGTCTCCATCCATGTCTCTACAAATGACCCAATTTCGTTCCTTTTTATGGCTGAGTAATATTCCCTTATATATAAAAACATGGACCACTTCACACATTTGCGTGTCATCCGTGTGCAGGGGCCTTGCTGATCTCTGTATCGTTCCAATTTTAGCACGTGTGCTGCTGAAGTGAGCGCAAGGAAAGCAATTGAATGCATGGGTTCAAATTGGCATCTTATGAATGTTCTTATAGTCCTTTTTCTGAGGTAGAACTATCTTAGAATATGTCCATAGTGTTGTTATAAGTAAAGCTTTAAACAGAGTGATCCCGAAATCTGTCTTTTGTGGCATTTAAACTTTGTGTTTTGAACTAAAGCTAAGTGGGAGCTAAAGATTATTTTATACTGTGCTCATAGAGATGCCAATACTGTCCCTACTAAATGAGGGCTTCATCAAGATATGTCAGCTCACAGAAGAGAGAAGGAAGATGAATCTTAAATTACAGAACTCAGATATCTGACTACTGGTCATCAAGATCAATAAGAAGACAGTGAGGACCCCATGAATTGTAGGATAATTGCTGGTTAATTTTCATTAACAGGCTTCCAAGTGAGTCTGTGTGGTGTGTGTATGTGCCTTGTGCGAAGTTCAGAAAGTCCTTTTGGGAAGGACGATGAGATAATGGGGGAGGCAAGCAATGTAGTATGCTGAGAGAAGAGAAGCCAGTAACTCGCCATTGGCACAGGCTCACTCTTAGCCTAAGTTTCCCAATTCTGGGAACATTTTCTAATAGGGAAATATGGTCCATATCACTAATGACAAGGGGAGGTACTAGAACTCTGGATACTTCAGATGGAAGCCCATGGATGGGTGGATCACTCATCTTGAAAACTTTGAATTTGTGCTGCAAGGAGAGGTTGCAGAAAGCATCTCTCCTGGTAAAGCATCTCACTATTTAGAAAGTAAATTTTACTTAAAAGGAAGCTATGGGTAGACCGTGCAAAATGAGACCCAGAAATAATTGGAAAGGCGGCAGAGGAAAAATGAGAGAGTTTGAATAAATCCTGAAAGCCCAAAGGCTGAGAATACCAAGATAATTTAAAAATACAGGGAAGATTTGAAAATACATGTAGCTGCAGGGAGGGTTGGCCAAAGAACAGAAATAGAGAAAACCATAGGAAATGGAAAAGAGGGGAAATGGAAAGGGATGAAGATGTTACCCTTAACAGGAATGCAGATGCACATGGAAAGATGCCAAAAAAAGCCAGGCGAATAAGTGCTCCGGATGGAATTTAGTGTATGTCGCTGAGGAATGAAAACAAAACCCACCACTACACTAGTCATAGAGGGCGGGAAGACTACCAGAAAATCAGGGGAGAACAATGTGGGTCTCAACAGGAGGTAATATATTGTATTCAAAGGCATTTGAGCATACAGCGTAGCATTTAGACAGATGATCTAGAGAATGCAAGTGCAAAGGGCAGAATAGGAAAAGAATGTCTGGCCACTCTATATATAAACCTGTAAGTCTGAGCTAAATTTCTCTTTGTCTACTCTGGTTACCGTTTGCTTCTTTGTTGACATGTAAAACATTTCCACAGAGTGGTTTGGGGGGTGTTAAAGTGAAACCAGGCTCATGGTAGAAAACAGAAGACTATGAGAGGATTTTATGATATTTGATAGTTGCTTTATAATATAAAAAAAGATGTGGTTTTTTTTTTGGTTGTTCTTGTGTGCTTTACAGAATCAGTCTCACGGCTTAATAACCTTACACCTTGAGCACCTTTGTATTTTGTACTTAGTTGCAAATACTTTAAGTAACAGCTTTATTATTTCTTCCTGGATCAGCCCCGGATCCCCTTTGAGGAACTATGTCTTCCAAGAATTCAGCTGACCACATAGTCCTAAGCCTAGAGTTTTGGGGAAAAGATTTGATTGTAGTTGCATATTTGTGTTTTTGTTCCAGTGGAGTTAGAATTTACCTTGTAAGGAGTAAATACTCATCCTTTGGCACCTGGAAGATGGTATAGCATCTTAAAATAACCAGAAAAGTAGTACAAGAATCTCTTAACTTACCTTTCTGCCTCCAGCTCATCTTCGTTTTTTTTTTTTCCCTAGTGAAATGATCTTTAAAATAAAATAAAATAAAACTCACTTACCATTTAACATCGTAAGTGAGGTTTAAACTAACGCAAAGAAAGAAAAATATCTGTAAGTTAAGGGGACTTTTAAACTAAAATATCGACTTTTGTGGCAACCTTTTGTCATCTGGGAAAAGGCAGGTCTCTAGGAAGAAAAAAGAAGTGTGAAGAGGTGGGAAGGAAAAAAAATGGAAGAACATCTTCGTCATTTAAGAAATATTTCACAGACACCGAATTGTGTTCTAGATACTTTAGCGTTTCATTAACATTTTGGGCTCCTCAATTAGAGTGACAGTTTTCTGAGAAACAGGATTATGTCCTTTTAGTTTTCTTGACACCAACCACAAGGTCGAATAGCTAAATTCAAACAATTTTATTCTCTTTAACTTTTCTACAGCATTTGACTCTGTTGAGAAATTTTCTTTCTATTCTCTCTTTTTTTTTCCTTCTCTACAGACACTGCTAGAGTTGGGCTCTCATCTGTCACCTGGTGTCCCACCTGCAGTTTTCTCTCCCCATCCCTCCCATTTCATCCTTCCCATTGCCATCGAAATTGTCTTTGATTAATTCACATCCCTGCTTAGAAACCAGTGATAGCTCCTCACTGGTGGATGCTATTATAGGCTATTATTGTGGGTGCTATCGGAAAAATTACAAAAATCTTTGGCCTTGTATCTAACTCCAGTCCCAGTAGATGGAGGATACTCAGTTTCCCCCTCTCCATTGGGCCCAGTCTTCCTTGTTCTCCCCAGAACCTACTCTACAGCCACACAAGACCTGTGGCTCTCCAAGTGCCTCCTAGGACTAACCTGGGTCTTAGAAGGAGAATATAGCTGTGGAGACCTGAACCTCAGTTGCAGTGAAGAGAGGAAAGATTGAAAACCAAGGCGCTTGTCTGAACAGGGGTGACCTCAGCTGTCTGGGCAAAGTGGTTTACTAAAGACCTCAGTGGAGAGATTCTGTGGCTTAAGAGCAGAGTGGAGTGTATTGGTTTGTGTTCAGTGTGTTTGCTCTATTGTTTTGGGTGGGAGAGGGGTAGTTGTCGGATATGGGAAGGCAAAAGGATGAAAGTACAAGGGAAGTGACAGATGCCTCCATTTGTCTGAACTTACTGTGAACCCCTCTAATCACAGGTATCAGGTTCCCTGGAGAACAGGTTCATGGGTTCAAGAGAGGCTTCTGAGCGGGTATTTTTGGCTACGATTGTGGTTGCTGTTAACCACGGTGTGCCTCCGTATGTATCATAACCATGGTGACCATATGTTTCCAGGTTAGTATGAGTCCAGATGGTAAATTTTAATATTTACTTGGGAAAATATGGTCACCATAGCTGTGGACTACAAAGAAGAATGATCCTTATGTGACCAGTGCATGATACGCCCAGTCAGCAAACAACTAGGAAAAATTGAACGTGTTAAATAAAGCAGTATGAAGTAGGGAGAGTCCAAATTGATTAGAATCTGATCTCTACCACCCTATGTTACCTTCTTCTGACCAGTTCGGTAAATTTTGTCTTCTTTAACCTTAAAGTGGGCCAATTCTAGAGTTAAACTGATGAAGCATACATCTTTGACCTGGTTTTGAAATCCAGGAAATTATGAATTTTTATGAATAAATTGCAGTAGGGAACGAACACACCACCAAGTTTGCATGTGACCTTGAATTGAAAAAAAGCTGTGCTACTTCCCACAATCACCATTAGCATTTGGCCAGAGCATCTTGTTTTGAGCCATACGTAGGCACTCTGCAGGTTCCTTGTAACACAAGCAGGCAAAACAGAACGTCGGACAGGTTGCTTAAATCAGGTAGGACAGATGTTGTAACCATTATTGCCTCCCCTCACCCCACTCGAAGGTAGCAGAAGAGCACCTGGCTCTTACCTCCGTATACTCTGTACATCGTTTCAAATATCTGCTCTTATCCGAGCTCCACCAGAATGTGGACCACTCATCCTGCAGATTTTCCTTAGACATCAGAGTTTCAGTAATCAAGTATCATCTTTTTTTTAAAATTTTTATTTATTTATCTTACTGACTGACCTACAACACTATGTTAGTTCGATATTTCTGTGCATTAAATGATCAGCACAAGAAGTCTAGTTGCCATCTGTCACCACACAAAGTTATTACAATATTACTGACTGTATTCTCCTTGCTGTACGTTTCATCCCTGTGACTCATTAATTTTGTATCTGGAAGATGTACCTCTTAGTCTCCGTCACCTGTTTCCTCACCGCCTGCCCCCACGTCCCTCCCCTCTGGCAATCACCTGTTTGTTCTCTATTTTTATGACTCTGTCTCTGTTCTGTTTGTTCATTTGGTTTTTAGATTCTACATATAAGTGAAATCATATGGTATCTATCTTTCTCTGTCTGACTTATTTCACAGCGTAATACCCTCTAGAATCACATTGTCAAAAATGGCAAGATTTCATTCTTTTCTTGGCTCAGTAATATTCCCTAATCAAGTATCATCTTGTCAGACTCTAAAAGTCTGTTCATAATTAGTGCTGCAAATGAAACCAAACTTCAGAATAACTGGGCTTCCCTTTACATTTTTTTTTTTCTAAATAAGTAACCAGGCAGGTGTTCCACGTGAAGTGGGCATACCAGGGTCCTTGTGATTTCCTTTTGAGCAGGAAAAGTGTAAAACACGAGCAGCAATGTGATTCAAGTCAGTGATGTACCACTGAATAGGGCTGGGATGCTGAGTCTATATTCTCAGTATCACCTTTATGTTCTTGTGTAGATCAGGCTTCCGCTTGCCTTCTTTGTGGTTGAACATCATATTACAAACTCTCAGTGTTCCCTTTCGACCCCCTGGACACAGTTGTCTTGGGATTTGCTGGCATTTGGGAGGGCTCTGACAATGGTGGAACAAATCTATTCCTGTAATGGGGTATCACGGTGGCTCTGCTGCATAAGACAGGATGCTTGATGTCTTTATCTGCCCTCCCAGACACTTTCCCCCCCACTTCACCTTGTTTTGTGCCCCAGGAGGCTGACCTGTGTGGACCAGATCAATGAGCTGCCTTGCCCTCAACTTCCAGTTAGGTTT